TTGCAATTTTGTAAAAATATAAAATATTGTTGAAAAAGGTTTCGATTTTTCAGTAATCTTCATAGCATTTAATAAAAAATTGCCAAGTTTATTCGTAAAACTTACAAAGTTACGACAAATAAAATCTGTGTTCATTAAGACATTGTAAGTAACGTCCAGGCGATATCTCGGCATAGTGTCTGTAAGTGTTTCAGTTATTTTTGAACCTAAACCTGTTTTTAATGTGGTCCTTTGCACACAAAGGAACATATAAAAAGCAGGTTTCTCGAAGCTTAAATTTAATAACTTTTAATGACTTGATTTTAATAGTTTTTGATTGGAACCGTTACATGCAGACGAGCATTATCATGTAGAAGAATAATTTTGCCGTGTCTGGAGTAGTATTAAGGGCGTTTTCCTTCAGAGCTCGGCTCAATCTCATGTGTTCTGTGTTCGGTATAGAGTTCCAGTGACTGTTTCGCTTGCATTCAGCAACTCGTAAAACACCACACCAAATACACAATATGTGTTTTTTTCGTGAATATTTGGTTTTACTGTGCATATTGACGCGTGGCCAGGTAGTCAGTCCCCATGATTTTCTTTTTTTAGATTATCATAATGTATCCACTTTTCATCACCAATGACGATACGATGTAAAAACTTTTTTTGTGCCTAGTTAGCAGCATTTCACTCATGCATAATCGGCGTTCAACATCTCTCGGCTTTAATTCGTATAGAACCCAATTACCTTGTTTATGAATAATTCCTAACGATTTTAAACGATGCGAGACTGCTTGCTGAATGACTTCTAAAGTAAATTCAAGTTCTTTTTGTGTTTGAGACGAATCTTCCTCCAATAATTTTTCCAATTTTGCATCCTCATAAATTTATGGCCTTACACTGCGATCTTTGTCTTCTACGTCAAAATCAACGTTTTTAAATTTTTGAAACCACTCACGACATGTTTTCTCACTCAAAACAGCCTCATTATATGCTTCTACGAGCAATCGATGTGCCTCAGCTGCAGATTTTTAAATTATTTATATTCCTTATAGAATACAATTTCAATTTTTACTATTTTTTTTTTATTTTTCTCGTAACCATCATCTGAGGCACCATATATGTACAAAATGTCAAAACTCTATCTTATCACAAGTACGTACACCAGATTCACTCTGGTCTACAAGTCAGTCAGCTAGTCGGTCATTACCCAGACCTGTGACTTACACGTTCTCACACTTTGGAAACATTAAATAAATAAACGTTGAATTGGCTGTCTTTTGATGATAATTTTAACCCCTCTATAGGAAGAAAAATCAATAAAAAAATTTATGTATTCGTGAAGTGGTGGACAATAGGCGTCGGCATATTTTGCGCTTACTATGCGCTTACATACTGTTTAATGCAACCTTCTAATAAAAATAAAGAAAATCATTACCTAACCAATATTATAAATGCGAAAACATATTTGTTGATTTGTTTATTCTTCTTTGAACGAAGCAATGAATCGCACTGATTTTTTTCCATAGACACGCGCATTTTTGGACCGGAGAGTTATGCACTCTCCGGTTTCCGGAGTATGCTAATTATAATTAACTATGATTGTTAAATAGAATTGATTAAAATTTGATCGTGCATTGTTTCAATATGGAATAGCCCCTAATATTCATTTACTTCTCATAAAATGTATAATTCTAATACAATTCATACTCGGTCCAAAAATGGTTATTCCACGCAGATGAAATTGCGGGCGGCATAATCAATATAATGAATAATCAGGGGCATAACCTAAAGAGAGACCAAGATCGCAATCGAGATCAGAAGTGGAATTGGAATTGAAAATGAAAGTGGAATCGGAACAAGCAGTAAAACGGAATTTGAATAAAGAACAGTGCCGGGTGTGCAGTCGTAATTGAAAGACTTGAAAAAATTAAGGAATTCATTCTACGTCCGTGCGAGCAAAGACGAGTAACTTATATGTCGTATTACGCGGTACATTCAGTAATGATGTTTAAATGACTTGTTATTATTTATTGCTTATTTCTCACTTTGCGACAAACAAAAACCCTTTACAACGTAGTCCGATTCGTACATGGCGATATATATATATTTTATTGTGACTGCCTTAATTTGTGCAAAAAATAATCCGTAGATGATTGCAATATACATTAATAGATCTAAATATGTCTATTTTTCCTCAAAGTTATGAGTCAAGTATCGCCTTTGCAATACGTATGTTTGACTGTGGACTGAATAATAAACGGTGACATCACTTCGCGCCTCGGTGCTCGCGCTTGGTTTTATGAAACGATTTTCCGTGACGGCCGTCCTACTCTCGACTTAATGCGTTTACACAATAAATCTATTTTTGCACGTTCTAAATATTATATCGTTTTTGTATCGTCCATTTACACGAACGAACCGAAAATGGTCGAATAATAAAACCGGGGAACCTATTGTCTTAGAACGAACCCCACGGACTCTACGTTCTCCAGTAGGTAGGTATATCGACCACGTTAGAATACCGCGTTTGGTACAGCGGGCCGGCGATCACGTGCATCGGTAGTGGTGGTCCGTTGAAGCGTGTCGGTGGACGTTTTTGCACGGCCGCGCCGCCGTCTGCGCCGCGGCCGCTGGAGCGCGACGTCGCCGTTCAAGGTTGCGAACCAGACCGCCGCCCGCGCCGGCGCAGTGCGGCGCCTCGGCATGTTCCTGTTGCCTCTAGCGGAGGCAGATAATGTAAGCTCATTTGAATTCGTTCTGGATGTCGAACCGTAGCGCCGTTTTTTATGTCGACACAATGTGAAAATAAACAATTCTTAAGTCATTCGAAAAACCGTTTTAAAAACATTGTGCAACTCGAGGTAGTTTAAACTGACAACGAAAAGAAAAGGTAGTGAAGTGCAACAATATTTTGTAGTATCCAAACCGACAAATAAAGCACATAAATAACTACTAGCTATAGTGATGTTGCCTGACGATCACACCGTGTCGTGTAAGGAATCGTGTCGTGTCGTATCGCAACAGGAATCGAATCTATTAAGAAAATAATTTTCTAACCACCATCTGTATAGTGATGTCGTCAGCGATTTGCGAATGGCCCAACACGACCTGCGTGTCTTAACCGTTATTGTGACAAGTTTTCGTCACCCTTCTGCTGCCCTCCAACAATCATTTTACTTGAGACTGAGCAGCTTTGACTTTATGACCTTAATACTGGCCCAATGTCGGTCGCGGGTTACTAATGAATTGTACGATACTATGTGGTAATATACAGTCTATAAATATCTAGTCTAAACGAAGTAAATCGAAAAAGTAGCCGATACTGGACTATTATTACTTTGACGGCGGCATTGTAGTTTGTCAGTAAATGTCAGAAGTGATTGTTCGAATCTATCGAAATGGCAGCCGAAACGGTTACTTTCAATTCGCCTGACAACATTGACGTGTCTGACCTCATTCTACGTATAAAATCAATGACAATAAGCCATATCGTTATATTAGATTGATACAAGGTTCCAGATTTTACATTCGACAAAACTAGGTATATGTTTCGAGTATCTTCAAAGGACTTACTTTGAAGAAATTGGAATTTTATCTCTAGCAACTCAATTTATAAACGAAAATGTATTTCAAAAAAATTGGATATGACTACGAAAAATAGTGATCGGCATAGACTCAGGAAGTGCTAGAATAAAGGTAGACTATGTCTATTATCTATATGTCAGTTGATTACATAAAATCACAAACTCGTTTATGGGGCTCTGTGTTCACAGTTCAAGAAAGTCCCTGTAGTGTGTAAAATTTTCTCTAAAATAAATTAAAAATTATTGAACAACTATCATTTGATAACAAAGGGTATTATAAAATTTTCAATTATTTATGGAACAAATATTCATGGACAAAAGCGCCCTACCTTTTATCGAGTTGTCCCTTTTTATAATGTTTATTTTTATTTGATTGTAATTATACGATACATAATTAAATTTGAAAGAGGTACCCTTAACTTTCATATTCATTAATGCTTCTCAAGGAAAAACAACCTTCCCCGAGGAATAAAATTCGTTATATAATGACTTATTTCACGTGTTACGTAGAATGTATAAAATAAACATAAATTTACACATATGTAAGATGAGAGTATCATAGTGTACCTTTACATAGGGGGGCCAAAACATTTCCCTTATATGATATAATATTTTACCACTGGTTATTATTTTAAATTCGAATTCAAAAATATGTTTTTAAATTATTCGTTTAATCTCAGAGATTATTGAGAAAAAAAATACAGAATATAGAGCACTTACAGGATAAAAGAAAATCTAAACTTATTTAAAATTCAGGATTTTTCGTAAGTTTTTAAATTTTACGGAAAATTGAAAATATTCGTAAAGAGAAAATGCTTATAAAATAAATGGGTTGCTTATTAATTTTACCGATGCTAATAAGTTCAACTGCTCTAATAATTACTATGGTAACCCATTTTTACGAAACAGGTGAGTTCAAACTCTCATCTGTGATTTTTTTAATTTTGTGAAACTCTTGTTTTAGTTACCACACATAAATTTGTGTTATATTTCAACAAAAAATAGTAGGCGATGCGATTACTTGTAGTTCTCTCTTTATCCTAATCCGATGCGCCCTTAACCGCTTTTTTGAACTCGTTATCTAACAGTAGATATATCTAGTTAAATTAAACGTAGGCACGTCGTCTCGTAGATAACTTTTAAATAAAATTACTATTTTTTCTACAATGGGCGTTTCAGGGATACAATTTGCATTCTATTATTTGACAGATTTTAAGAAACAAGAGATTTTCATATTCTACCATCGACAAACGTCTTTTTCGCACACCATATTTAGACGCACTCCAGTAATCATTTCATAGTTACTTTTGTTCGACTTGTCTAAAGCTGACAGATGAACAAAGACAGTTTCAGTGACATTGCTTATCTATTATCTAATAATGAACTTTTCACAAATATTTTATGGTTTTATAGGTATGCCCGCTGCATTAGTTTGTCTTGATAGCTCAATGGTCAGAGCACCCCCCGTGTACGAGGGGAGACCCAGGTTCGAATCCCGGTCAAGACCCAGCAGCGAGCTACCTATACTTTATCAACTAAAATAATTCCTAATGCATAACATCATATAGTAAACGAATAATGGCATACGTTGTACCTAATTTCGTTTCGTTTTACGTAGTCAGCTGAATTGTCGATAAGACAAAACGGTTCGCCGCCCGCCTCGCGCCGTCGGACTGTTTCTCGCGCCTCGACCCTCGCCTCGCCCGCCCCCCGATCCGCACCGCCCCTCTTCAACGAGATTCTTATTTAGATTCGCTTCCGTCTGATTGCTCTCGGTAATCTTTTCACTGGGTTATTGAATGTGTTCGCGGTGCGCGAGCTGCGCCGGCTCGCGCGGGCCGCCGCGTCCGCGCCTCCCGCGCCCCGGTGCCGGAGAAATCGCTCGGTGATATCCTTGGAGACTGTCGCTATTCGCTATTCAGAGATAAAGAAAGTAATTATAATATCTCACAATAACGATATGTCATCACGAATAACGCTGTATAGAGTCAACATAATACATATATAGAATATTCCGACATCTCTAAGCATATAAAAAAGAAATATTGCTGTTTCACCAACGTCAATGTAAATCACGAGTTACATTGGTACTTGGCGCTCAGTCATTCATCACTAACGGGAGAGAACACGACATATGAAATGTAGGTGTGTATATCACAACCCAGTTCATTATACACGGTTTATTTCCCTTCTATACTAGTGATACTACTTGAATCTAAACGTCGCGATCACTGACTGCACCTACAACCTCTACGTCGACACGATCTAACGCAATTTTTTTTCCTTTTGACATTCAGTTCACCAGGCGCAGTCTGCATTGTATCTATTCGTTCACGGAAAAAGAGCATTCTTGGTTAGTATTCATGTTGTATCTTCCGTGTCAACTCTCCGTTAGTTTAATATGTAACATACCGACGATAAATAACGCAACGGACGATTAATCTTATAGACCCTTTGTTCATTTAAAATATGAAGCAAATATAACGTCGAAGGTCAGTGATCATTGTTCAAAACAGCGGCGCGATCAGCCGTGCTCCGGCAGGGCGAGGGCGGCGCCGGGCAAGTCGGCGGTCACGGCGCGCGGCGGCTCGGCCGCTCGGCGATTACTTAAAGCGTGTAATTTACCTAATTAGCAATACTGAAATTTATCTACTGTTGAAAATTTTTTTTTCGGGCCAGTGAACGGAATCAATATTTATCTCATGATTAAATATCGGTTATTTTTCCCATGTATTACGAAATACTAGAAGAAATTAAGTGATATCAAATACATCCGGTTTCTTTTTTTTTAATTTCAATCACAAATATCATAATCAGGTATATTATAATAAACATTTAAGTGTCGAAAAAGGACTGTTAAAGACCATTAAACCGAATTTGTCATATACCCGCGTCGTACTCTAAAGAAACATTTCAAGTTGGTACGCCTATATACAAAATAGATCTTTAATCATATATTTGCTGGGAAAATTGTTTTTCTTTTTATTATTACTAGGCAGAATGGATTGTATGAAAGTGTTGAACTTATTATTCTGGCTCGATACGCACATGAAATGGCTTTTCCGCGTTTGTGTTTTCTGGCTGCATTCCCTCATAGTATTCTTTCTCTTCATCTTCATTATTCTTATCCAACCGCAAAAATGATGCCAATTATTTCTGTATAGAGTTTTTGTTAACGTGGCAAACAGTGTTACATTTCATAGTCAACACTAACTGCGTAACATGAAAATGTTATAATAAGCCACACTTTGGTAAGATGTTTTCTAGGATTATTATTTGTTATAATATTTCTTTTTATCAATAATGTTAAAGCAAAAATTACAGTGTTCAATTAATAATGATTGAATTTGAACATTTGTGGCGAAATTTGGTAATGAATACAATATTCATAACAATTGTTAATTATTTCAAAAACATCCGAATAGTAATTATTACGTAAGATGGCCAATTACAGCGCGTGATACCTCTACACGGCTTGTAAATATTTTTAAAACAGAAAATTGGCTGATTGAACCTCCTACAGAACAGAATAAAAAATTTCAAATTCAAATTATCTGTGCTCACACATTACCATAAAACAAATTATAACGATTTATATTAAAATAAGGAGGTCAAACAGGTCTAAGTTTCCGCACATTCAACGCAACATTTAATATAATAAGCACTAAATAAACAAAAAAGCAGTCGGTAGCCATTCTGCACGAGCGTGTGGTTGTAAGAGAATGACACAATCAATACGTGGCGTCAACCATCATCATTCGGCATGGTCGCTAAATAAAAACTTTATATCGTTAATTGAAGCTCAAGTTTTGCTCTTCAAAAATATTTAATGTAATTAAGTATTTCGCTTTGATATTTTTCGATTAATCGTATTTAGTACATGATAGAAATAGGTTTTGGAAGTATCGAATGAGTTAATTGAGAATGAAGAGATTCACTATGCGAAATATCATCCAGGTGCGGATAAAATGAAAAAAGCATAAAAATCTTATTAAAATCCGCTACATAAAATTTTAACAAAGATGGTGAATACTGAACTGACGAGGTTTCATTGCACTTGACGAGATTTAATCCGCCATTTTTTAATTTTTTTGGTGTTTAAGATTTTGAAATATATTTTCTTACAGTAGGTTTTTTTTTAATTTGTGGTGTAATTTATTATGTAAATAAATGACACGTAATTATTATTTATACATATTAGCCGAAATAATAAGTAAAGCTTAATTTTGAGCATTTTTTGAATTACCAAAATAATATTTATGTTAAGTAGAAAATGAATATACTTTTACTCGAAACGCTAACGATATCTACACGGTCCCGCCGCGATGAAAACGTTGGTGTTGCATTCGTGTTGAAAATAAAATTTCAAGATTTATGTACGGTCCGAACGCGACGTGCGTTCGGAGCACGATGCTATTTTCAACTAGGTTATGCTTTAAATAGCATGTTATGGTAGGATTCGGTTTCACGCGTTTTTTCTCCATGCTGCCGACAGAGCCGTCACGTCTCGGACGCCCACTCGTATTTTCGCTGAAAACGATTGCTCTAAAACACCCGACTGTATTTCTGACGAATGTGCTAGCTGCTTATCGTTTTTATCTGTTGACGGACAATCGTTGGAAAGTAAATTAATAGCTGATCGTTTGGATCTAAATGATTAGAATAATGCGAGGCTACTGCAGCTTATATATTTTAATAAAATATTTTATTATTTTAGATCTAGTAATTGGCATAAGTTGATAATGTGGGCAAGGTAAGATTGACAATCTGCTCCAGTGATGCGAAGGTATAACACTCGTTAGAGCTGCAGTCGCTAATATTATTAATGCACATTTTAGCCGTGATAAGCTACAGCTGACCAATAACCGTAACGACCGCTAAGACCTGGTCGTGACGTAACCTCGGCCCGTGCGGGGCTGCGGCCCGCTTCTAACCCGGTAGCCGCTTACGCTTGGCTCCGGGACCACCTTCCCGGAGTAGTAACAGTGTGTTTTGTTGTTCGCAGACTTGAGCCTTCACCGCACCGGCTTGTCCGTGCCGCCGGCCGCTAACTCGCTTTTCCGCGCCCCGCCCGGCCACCGCTGCCCGCTGTCGCCGCAGTCGCCGCTATGCTCGCACACCTACCGCACCTCGCCCTCTACTAAATTGATTCGTCAAACTACATCGACGAACGCGTGTGATAATAATATTAAATAGTAATCTGGAAATCCGCCTAAAATAAGCTTGCAACGTCGGTGTCTTAATTTAAGATATTTCGATAAGTAATTTTATCGTTAGCCTAACGAAGCTTCCATATTCGAAAAATCAGCCACTTAAACATCTGCACTAGAATCCGTAGTAGGGTGTCGTCGCAGACACGTGTGCAGTGCTCTAGTGCCGTGGTGGGTGAGGCGTTCGGCTCGTGCAGCGGCAGTGCGCCGTCAGTGACGCGGAGTTGCATGCGCGTCGGCGCAGCGTCGCACGCGGTCGCCGGCCGCAGCCTATGCGCCGGTGTCGCCCGTGGTAGGCGCGCGCACGACTAGTGGCCCCGGATACGTCCGCAGCTATGGCCACAATGGTGAACATGAACAGCTTGCTCAACGGCAAGGACTCTCGCTGGCTGCAACTGGAAGTGTGCAGGGAGTTCCAGCGCAACAAGTGCTCCCGCGTCGACACCGAGTGCAAATTTGCGCACCCGCCTGCCAACGTCGAGGTGCAGAACGGTCGTGTGACCGCTTGCTACGACAGCATCAAGGTGAGTCCCACACGCTTAGTGACGATTGTTATAAACTTTAAACCAGGAAATATACTTCCAAATATATGAGTACGTGATTTCACAAAATGCTTCGAACAAAACAAACAGACACTACATACCAAAGATTGGTATTGTTCTCAGGGCTGTTAACGTAATAGTTACTTTAAACGTAAGCTTTAAATTAAAAAATGCCAAGCTTCCCATCAGTGTTATTTTCGAAGGAGTATAATATTCAACTCTAAAGAATTATTCTTCTTTTAAAAAGGTTCAAACATGCAATTTACTACGGGTTGTGGCTTGTAGGCGGCGGTAATCGGTTGCTAGAGCCACCTCTTTGCCCACTCTTTGGTTCATTTACTATTTTCTATTATTTTATTAGTAAGTTTTATTGATTTTTGTGCCCCTTAAATGTAACAAAATTATCAGTTAAGATTTTAGTTTTTTAATTATTTACATGTATAGATAATCGTGCATTCTAATTATTTTGTTTCTCTCTAATACCTTTTTTATAACTTTGTAGTACCTTTTACTGACAGCACGAACGAGCCAAATTAATTGAGAACAGCAAGTATTTCTCTTAACTGCGCTATTAAATACTTGCAAATATCTACGAATGCAACTCTAATCACTGACTATGTTATAGTATTCGCGCAGTTTTTTAAGTCCGGGGTAGTTGCTCAAATATTTAAAAAAACTTTCGAGTAGTAGCAATGACACGTAAGCGACGATCTGTATTACGTATTAATATATATGACTTACGTTTAACAATATCT